TTTTTTTTAAAAATTTAAAGAACCCCTTTTTTTCCAACCTTCCTCCCACCCACCCCCTTTTCCCCCAGCGGGGGAACTTTTTTGGGGTCCAGGCCTGAGTGGTGTGGGTACAATAGGACTTGGTATGTACCTTAAAAAAAAGTTTTTTTCCCTTTTAGAAGAAATTAGAAGAAAACCCTATTCATCCTACCTACTTTACAAAGCCAGAAAGACTCCTCTCTCTCCGTTTCAGCGGCTCGTGAAAAAGAGCTAATTTGACTGCCTTACAAAGATGTCAATAAGACACGGAGTCATGGGGCAGAATAGGACAATTAAACCCTCAACGAGAGAGAGAGAGAGAGAGAGATCCACCACAATCGTGTTCATGAGAATGCCCCCTTTCCACAGTGTGTTCACATTAGTTTTTTAGGCCAAACCGCTCGGTCACAAAATACATTTTCGTGAGAAGACCAATTTTCGGGATGTATCATGGTCTGACAAACACCGCTGTAGATGTGGAAGGCCGCCATTGGCGGATGTATTGGATTGAGACGCAGCCTATGCAAAGAAAACATATCTCTAGCTTAAATTGATGGATTTTGACAGGATTTGTTTATTATGTTACTTTGACGCAGTCTAACCTATATAAGGAATATTACCCTTAGAACCCAATGGCGGCAGGTAGCTTAGTGGTTAAGAGTGTTGTGCCAGTAACTGAAAGGTTGCTGGTTCTAATCCCCGAGCTGACTAGGTGAAAAATCTGTCAATGTGCCCTTGAGCAAGGCACTTAACCCTAATTGCTCCTGTAAGTCGCTCTGGATAAGAGTGTCTGCTAAATGACTAAAATGTTAATGTTATTGATTGACATTCAATACATTTGGTCCAGGTTTAAAGGGATAATTCACCCCAAAACTAAACCTACTGGGAAAAACTGGTTGAATCAACGTTGTTTTCACGTCATTTCAACAACCAAAAATCTATGTGATGATGTTGAATCAACTTGGAAAACTGATTTGGATTTGCAAAACGTCATCAACGAACGGGAATTTCGTATTGCTTTTCACCTAACTTTTTAACTAAACTTTAACTAAACACGTATAATTCTCATTAGTTGACAACTCAACCAGATGTAAATCAAAACTAAACATTGAAATGACGTCTGTGCCCATTGAGAAGTTTGTCACGTTTTCATACCTCAAAAGTAGTCTAAAGTCAACTTCTCCTTTCACATCATTTGTTGTGTAGATTCCACTATATATAATAGGATAAAACTGCAAGCCTTAATCCCAACTGAATGGGAAATATAGGCACCATCTAATAAAAGTGTATGTTTTGTCTATGTTGTATATTGGATACGTGTTTTCTATTATGGCCCATACTGTACTCAGGCACAATGGTTCCTTGGCCAATGGGGACAAGGGACGGAGGAGAAGTCGCCTGGCCCTCTACAAGAGACCCAAAGCCAACGGGGTCAAACCTGATGTCATCCACAATGTCTCCACCCCTCTGGTGTCAAAGGTGAGAGGTCACATTATATTTAGACAGTCTTTCACAGTATTAAACACTATCTATAAAATGTTTACTTATTAACTCTATAACTGTTTTTTTTAATGCAGGAATTAATAGTACATACAGTGGGGAAAAAAAGTATTTAGTCAGCCACCAATTGTGCAAGTTCTCCCACTTAAAAAGATGAGAGAGGCCTGTAATTTTCATCATAGGTACACGTCAACTATGACAGACAAAATGAGGAAAAAAAATCCAGAAAATCACATTGTAGGATTTTTTATGATTTTATTTGCAAATTATGGTGGAAAATAAGTATTTGGTCAATAACAAAAGTTTCTCAATACTTTGTTATATACCCTTTGTTGGCAATGACACAGGTCAAACGTTTTCTGTAAGTCTTCACAAGGTTTTCACACACTGTTGCTGGTATTTTGGCCCATTCCTCCATGCAGATCTCCTCTAGAGCAGTGATGTTTTGGGGCTGTCACTGGGCAACACAGACTTTCAACTCCCTCCAAAGATTTTCTATGGGGTTGAGATCTGGAGACTGGCTAGGCCACTCCAGGACCTTGAAATGCTTCTTACGAAGCCACTCCTTCGTTGCCCGGGCGGTGTGTTTGGGATCATTGTCATGCTGAAAGACCCAGCCACGTTTCATCGTCAATGCCCTTGCTGATGGAAGGAGGTTTTCACTCAAAATCTCACGATACATGGCCCCATTCATTCTTTCCTTTACACGGATCAGTCGTCCTGGTCCCTTTGCAGAAAAACAGCCCCAAAGCATGATGTTTCCACCCCCATGCTTCACAGTAGGTATGGTGTTTTTTGGATGCAACTCAGCATTATTTGTCCTCCAAACATGACGAGTTGAGTTTTTACCAAAAAGTTATATTTTGGTTTCATCTGACCATATGACATTCTCCCAATCCTCTTCTGGATCATCCAAATGCACTCTAGTCAACTTCAGACGGGCCTGGACATGTACTGGCTTAAGCAGGGGGACACGTCTGGCACTGCAGGATTTGAGTCCCTGGCGGCGTAGTGTGTTACTGATGGTAGGCTTTGTTACTTTGGTCCCAGCTCTCTGCAGGTCATTCACTAGGTCCCCCCGTGTGGTTCTGGGATTGTTGCTCACCGTTCTTGTGATCATTTTGACCCCACGGGGTGAGATCTTGCGTGGAGCCCCAGATCGAGGGAGATTATCAGTGGTCTTGTATGTCTTCCATTTCCTAATAATTGCTCCCACAGTTGATTTCTTCAAACCAAGCTGCTTACCTATTGCAGATTCAGCCTTCCCAGCCTGGTGCAGGTCTACAATTTTGTTTCTGGTGTCCTTTGACAGCTCTTTGGTCTTGGCCATAATGGAGTTTGAAGTGTGACTGTTTGAGGTTGTGGACAGGTGTCTTTTATACTGATGATAAGTTCAAACAGGTGCCATTAATACAGGTAACGAGTGGAGGACAGAGGAGCCTCTTAAATAAGAAGTTACAGGTCTGTGAGAGCCAGAAATCTTGCTTGTTTGTAGGTGACCAAATACTTATTTTCCACCATAATTTGCAAATAAATTCATTAAAAATCCTACAATGTGATTTTCTGGATTTTTTTTTCTCAAATTGTCTGTCATAGTTGACCTATGATGAAAATTACAGGCCTCTCTCATCTTTTTAAGTGGGAGAACTTGCACAATTGGTGGCTGACTAAATACTTTTTTCCCCCACTGTATATACGACTACGTTTTTTAACTCTTACCACATATGGTACTAATACATTTTCAAACAGGCAAAACTTTTGGAATGCCCTTTCCTATGTAGCTGGCTATATGACCTGGTTCCTGTATATGTGTCTTCTGCATCGACAGGCTCTTAGCAACAAAAGCCAGCACAGCATCTCCTACACCCTGTCCAGGAGTCACTCGGTCATCGTAGAGTACACCCATGATAGCAACACAGATATGTTTCAGGTGAGTCACCTTTAACATGACATGCCAACTCAGCCAGAGCCCCAACGCTTCAGCCCAAAAAGGACCTAGAAACTGAGAACAGAGTATGCAACACCCTACTTCCATTTTATTGCCATTTGGGATCCACACAGTCACAGCCTTATAGCAGACTCCCTTGTCCTTGCCTACACACTAGCCTGGCCCTAGATCAGTTTGTACTTTATAGCATAACAACGACCGTAGGAGTTGGCTATATGGCACAAACAGATCTGGGACCAGTCTACCTACACACTCACTGTGAGCAGATGTCACAGTTCAATGTAATTTGTTAGCAGACACCATAGGGATTCTTAGAAATGCAGAGTCATGAGAAGACTGTGGTGGTGTCTGCTCCTCTCTTCTCCTCTCCTGTCCTCCCCTCCTTTCTCTCTCCTCTCCTCTCCTCCCATCCGCTATCTATCTCTCATCCCTGTGATGAATGTGGAGTCCCAACTCCTGCAGACTGAATGGATCCGAGGTGCCACAGGCTGCAGGGCTGTGATGCTCCAGGGCTGCAGTGAGCCCATCTGTCCCTCTGTCTGCTCTCTCTCCAACCAGGGGCTGTGATAGGCTGCCATTTTATCTCCTGGCAGCCTGGGAGGGAGCTGATAGGAATTTGAACTGTTTGAAGTGGAATTGGGCGCGGGACGGACTTGTGAAATGTTGTGGGCATTTGTCCACAGTGCCCCAGACGATATCCTGACTTCAGTGGGATTGAAATGGAATTGGGTCTTTCTATCTCCCTCCTCCCTAAAGACATATTTACACTCATATATTTGATTATATTCATGACACTACTCCACCCTACTCCACCCTACTCCACACTACTCCACACTACTCCACACTACTCCACCCTACTCCACACTACTCCACACTACTCCACCCTACTCCACCCTACTCCACACTACTCCACCCTACTCCACCCTACTCCACACTGCTCCACCCTACTCCACACTACTCCACCCTACTCCACACTGCTCCACCCTACTCCACACTACTCCACCTTACTCCATACTACTCCACCCTACTCCACACTACTCCACCCTACTCCACACTACTCCACACTACTCCACCCTACTCCACACTGCTCCACCCTACTCCACACTACTCCACACTGCTCCACACTACTCCACCCTACTCCACACTACTCCACCCTACTCCACACTACTCCACACTACTCCACACTACTCCACCCTACTCCACCCTACTCCACCCCACTCCACACTACTCCACCCTACTCCGCACTACTCCACCCTACTCCACCCTACTCCACCCTACTCCACACTACTCCACCCTACTCCACCCTACTACACACTACTCCACCCTACTCCACACTACTACAACCTACTCCACACTACTCCACCCTGCTCCACCCTACTCTACCCTACTCCACACTGCTCCACCCTACTCCACACTACTCCACCCTACTCCATACTACTCCACCCTACTCCACACTGCTCCACCCTACTCCACACTACTCCACACTGCTCCACACTACTCCACCCTACTCCACCCTACTCCACACTACTCCACCCTACTCCACACTGCTCCACACTACTCCACCCTACTCCACACTGCTCCACCCTACTCCACACTACTACACACTACTCCACCCTACTCCACACTGCTCCACACTACTCCACACTGCTCCACCCTACTCCACACTGCTCCACACTACTTCACGCTGCTCCACACTACTCCACTCTGTTCTGCTGTACTTTATTCTGTAATTATATTAACCATCTCCTATGTTCTATCTCCTATGTTCTATCTCCTATGTTCTTTCTCCTATGTTCAATCTCCTATGTTCTCCCCCTACAGATCGGGCGTTCTACAGAGAGCATGATTGACTTTGTGGTGACGGACACGGCAGGCTGCAGCACCAGTGGTGGCGGGGGGCAGGGCCAGGGGGGAGGAGGAGGAGGAGGGCAGTCGGCCCAGAGCACAATATCCCGCTACGCGTGCCGCATCATGTGCGAACGCAGCGCCCCGTACACGGCCCGCATCTATGCCGCCGGCTTCGACTCCTCCAAAAACATCTTCCTGGGGGTGAGTCATCACGGTGACGACTACAGTGTGAGTGACAGCATGGGCGACATCACACCCCTTTGATTTAATTGTGGTGTTGAGCGTCATTATGTGTGATATACTGTGGAGATGAATCATGGAGGAACTGGTGTTGTGGTGTGGAGGAGTTGTTAGTGGGTGTGTGAATGTTCACCATGTGGCCTGCTTCTTGGGAATGTTTTGTCGAGGTGTACACAGCCTGGACAAACACATTAGCACTCTCTTGTCCCCATCTTATGCACAAACACACTTCATCTAGCCCCCCAGTGCACACACACACACACACACTTCGTCTAGCATGGTTTTCATGTGTTTGATGCCATTCCATTTACTCCGTTCCAGCCATTATTATGAGCTGTCCTCCCCTCAGCAGCCTCCACTGATAGAGACATACACACTCCTCTGGTCTGGCTGTCTTCTTCACCTTGGTGGTATAGCTTCTCACTGGCCGGTTGGCCCTGCGCCCAGCCACAGAAACAGCTCCGGCCTGCACTTTGTTTAGAGATAAGACGATCAACGGTAATTATCAATAAACACATGTCCGGGACGGCCAGGCCGCTTTGTCAGGCTCTAAGTGCCACAACTCTTTTAATGGATTGGATTTATGACAGCATTGTTGGATACTATACTCTCACACACACACATACACACACACACACACACAAACTGGGAATTGTGGGAATCAAGGAGCTGTGATTAAATAGATATGTATGCATGTTATGTGTGTGTGCAAACACTTGTGTCTGTGTGTGTGTGTGTGTGTGTGTGTGTGTGTGTGTGTATGTGTGTGTATGTGCACAAACGCGTGTGTGTGCATGTGAGTGCAAGTGTGAGTGTTTGTTTGCTGAAAACCGCTCCAATCAGCAAATACAACAATCGACTAGCATTAAAATCACAGTGCAGTGGTCCAGTGTTGTGAAGTGGAGGGGGGGTTGCTAGCTTACTCATTGACAAAATAAGCTTTTGATCCATTCTGGCAGAGGCACTCAGTTCTCCCCCTCCCCTCCCCTCTCCTCTCGCCCATACCATGGAATGAGATATTGAAGGGGTTCTGCAAGATTAATTTGTTAATGGAGAGAGTTGGCAAGGGGGGAGACAGGGAGGCCGGTGGGGGAGGGAGGGAGGGAGGGCATTGTCATTGTGGAAGACATTGGCGGCAGGGGTCCAGCAGTACTCATCTCCATCGATGGGAGCGAGCCCCAGGGTCCGAGTCAGACACACTGTACTGCCACACCGCCAGTCTGCCACTGACCTCCACTAGCACTTGATTATGAGGGGCAAGAAGGGCGGCCATATTGGATTGGATTAAGGAAGGTGGTAATGGGTTTTAAAAGATTGAAAACTGCCTCCTGTGCCAACAGTGACCAATGACAGGATAGTTAATATACCATATGCAGTTATACAGTGTAGGCTTTAGTGCATAGCACACAAGAAAGCATTGTTTATTCTGAAAATGTTTTTACTGACTACAGCCAGAGAGGAAGAGGAGAAGCGAGAGGGATAACTGGGCCCAAAATCTGTCTTCTCCAGCAGGTGGAGATTTTTCAATTTTTTTCACTCACCATGCGAGGGATATTTGTATGGAGATCAATGACAGCATGTCGAATTTGGTAAAGGAAAAATTGAAGGGCTTATTTGCTACGTGTGGCATATTTGATAAAATAGAAGTTTCGTAATGCTTTGGTTGGTACAAGTGTACTCATATCTTTGCCCGTTTTGCCTGTTGTTCACACACGTATCTGCCCTCTCATTGGCTAGAATGGTCCCACCTGATCTTGCCTCCTGCCCTGCCTTCCATGTTTTGTTTTTATTGTTAGAGCAGCCACTTGAGTATCTGGTCAATATAATGGATCATCTGTGCTACAGCTAACACAAAATGACGACACTGATGACAGTTATAGCGTGACATCACATCTTGTGACACTACAAAGTCAACCCACAAGGACAATGTGACCATAACATCCGGATGACTAACCTAACCCAACTATAGAGACTTTTATAACTGATCTCAGCATCGTAGCATGCCGTCGGTGCGCGGCTATGCTAACAATACAGCTAGAGAACCTCAGAGCCCACAAGGACGTCTAATAGCTTAAGAGCTGCTAGCTGCTGTCAATGAAGTGCAGGCTTAGTAACCTCAGCACGGCTCCCCTCCTTCATACTGTAACTGGCACACATACAATGTCCTTGGCAGATAGCGGAGTCAGGCTGGCGGCTCGGCCCACTGCTAGTGTGGAGGTGGAGAGAGAGAGAGAGAGACGTACATTTACTGTACTGGTTGAATGGCTTGCAGTCGTGACCGCTTTAAATTCTATGTCCACTGACAGAGAATATCAGAGAACACTGCCGCTGCAGGGATTGAATGCCCTGCAATGTTTATGCGTGCGTGTGCATCTCTGTGTGTTAGTCAGTATAGCAGTCATACTCTGTGCTAAATATAGCAGTGCAAAAAAGCAATGTTAGCTGTTTTTTTCTCCCCCTCTTTCTCTATTTGCCCTCTCTATCTCTCTCTCCCTCTCTCTCTCTCTCTCTCTCTCTCCCTCACTCCCTCCCTCTCTCTCTCTCTCTCTCTCTCTCTCTCTCTCTCTCTCTCTCTCTCTCTCTCTCTCTACCTCCCTCACCTCTTGATCTCTCTATATCTCTTTCATCACTATCCCTCACCTTGGCTCTCTGTCTGTCTCTTTGTGTGCGGGGGCGGGTCTCTCAGGAGCGGGCTGCCAAATGGCGGACATCGGACGGCTTGATGGACGGCCTGACCACCAATGGCGTGCTGGTGATGCACCCGGCGGGGGAGTTTGTGTCTGAGCCGGCGCCAGGCGTGTGGCGGGAGATCTCAGTGTGCGGGAACGTCTTTGCCCTGCGGGAGACACGCTCGGCCCAGCAGAGGGGGAAATTGGTGAGAGGGGGTACATGAGTGGTAAGGGGGGTGGGGGGGTTATCAAGGCTACTGTTATGCCTGGAGGTATCTCAAGGACACCTAGACTAGACTATGAATGATGAGATATTATTATATTTTATAAGTAAATTAATTGATAAAGGAAACAGAGCCTCAAACCTGTCTGGTTATCAAGGCTGTTACACTACTATGTGTGTTTCTGAGGGGTTATATAACGGACTGCACAGTCAAACTAGGTTTCTCAACTATGAGTGATGATTTATTGAATGATGTTTTGTTAATCGATCATTGGCATTTTTATTAGATTATTGATGGTATGTAAATCATTTGATTCAATTATTGATGGTATGTTAATCATTTGATTAGACTCTTGATGGTATTTGAATATTTTGATTAGACTCTTGATGGTATGTGAATCATGTGATTCAATTATTGATGGTATGTGAATCATTTGATTAGATTATTGATGTTATGTGAATCATTTGATTTGATTATTGATGGTATGTGCATCATTTGATTAGACTCTTGATGGTATGTGAATCATTTGATTAGACTCTTGATGGTATGTGAATCATTTGATTAGATTATTGATGGTATGTGAATCATTTGATTATATTCTTGATGGTATGTGAATCATTTGATTATATTATTGATGGTATGTAAATCATTTGATTAGATTATTGATGGTATGTGAATCATTTGATTAGACTCTTGATGGTATGTGAATCATTTGATTATATTCTTGATGGTATGTAAATCATTTGATTATATTCTTGATGGTATGCAACAGGATAAGATGGATCCCCTGGTTTTAATGTCTATGGTCTGATCACAGTGCCATTAAGTTAAGATCGTTGGGAAGGAAACAGGAAAATAAGTACCACACACCTAAAAAGGAAACAATGTATGCAAATAGTTATGGGTTAGTCAGTTACAGTATTTTCTGTGCTAGTTTACTAATCGTCCCCCTATCCCTCCTCACTCTCCCTTCCTCCACTCTCCCTTCCCTCACCCTCCCTTCCTCCACTCTCCCTTCCTCCACCCTCCCTCCCTTCCTCCACCCTCCCTCCCTTCCTCCACCCTCCCTCCCTTCCTCCACCCTCCCTTCCTCCACCCTCCCTTCCTTCCCCCCAGGTGGAGAACGAGTCCAACACCCTGCAGGACGGCTCTCTGATCGACTTGTGTGGCGCCACCCTCCTGTGGCGTACCCCGTCGGGCCTGCGCCGCACCCCTACCCTCAAGCAGCTGGAGACCCTCCGCCAGGAGCTGAATGCCGCCCGGCCCCAGTGCCCCGTGGGTTTCAACACCCTGGCCTTCCCCAGCCTGGCCCAGAGAGAGATTGTGGACAAGAAGCAGCCCTGGGTCTACGTCAACTGTGGTCACGTCCACGGCTACCACAACTGGGGCTACCGGAAAGACAAGGGCCACAACGTGGGCCCCGGGGGGACGGCTCCGGCGAGCACCGGGGAAAGGGAGTGCCCCATGTGCCGGTGCGTGGGCCCCTACGTGCCCCTGTGGCTGGGCTGTGAGGGTGGGCTGTACCTGGACGCGGGCCCCCCGACGCATGCCTTCTGCCCCTGTGGCCATGTGTGTTCGGAAAAGACAGTGGCGGGCTGGAGCCAGATCCCGCTGCCGCACGGCACACACGCCTTCCACGCCGCATGCCCCTTCTGTGGCACCTGGCTGACGGGCGAGCAGGGCCACATCAAACTCATCTTTCAGGGGCCCGTCGACTGAGGCTGGCACTGGGGGGTGAGATAGGGGGCAGGGTGGAGGGAAGGTGGACTATGGAAAAGTCTAAAAGGAAATGAAAGGATAAGGATTGGAAAGACTGTTGAAATGACGATGGACTGAACTGAAGAGGCAAATGTGATGGAAGCAGATTAAGCATAAATTGCATTTAAGTTGTATTTGGGGAATATGTAAATAAAAGGTGTTGAAATGAAAACGTGACAAGTGTTTGATGATTTTTGGATTACTGATCGTAGATAAAAAGCGTGAATGAATAGTTTCATCATTAGATTAATTGAATTGGTGAACTGGCTATGGTTTCATTGCCTGACGACTCATCCTGAATATAATTCCGCTGCTCCATCGATCGTGTGGAAAAGAAACACTAGAGGGCGTGGCGTTTGGCCAAAGCCATGTGGATGGTAGTCAGGCTAATAGTTTTAGTCAATGCAGATGAATCAGATCTAATGATGAAACCAACCATTGTTAATGATGGTGTTTACAGATCTAAAACAAGTGATTTTTTGAGCACTTGGTTCCCCATTGACTCAATGTTAGAGCTAGATCTGCTAACTGTTTCTATCCTGGTGATTGACTCATTAGATCGGATTCATCAGGATGGGTGTGAAGCAACAAGATGGCTGACTACCTACCAGGCCATTAGCCAAACAACAGCATCCTCAACAGCTAATTGATGACATGAGGAAACCCATTCAGTGAGGTTTGATTTCAACCTACATCAGAACCTCTTGGTTTCTCTCTCTCTCTCTCTGTGCGGTCTCCCCCTGAGTAGTGTCTGGTACCTTGCCCCGAGTCTGCAGCGTCACCACACTATAAATAACTCACTCAAAGTCACCAGCGCCCTGCCACCACGCGGCCACGATAGGAGAAGAAGAGAGGGAGGCAGGACAACGGGTCAGTTTAGTCAGGACAGATTCCACATAGGTCATGGCCCTGGAGGGCAGATCTCGGATCAGATCCCCCACTCCTGTCCATATAATCTTATTCATTATGATCTAAAAGGCACAACTGATCCTAGACCAGCACTCTTACTCAGATGCTTTATGAATACAGGCCCTGTCCAATGAGCGCATCACACTCTCAGATCAGTGCAAATTGCATCGGACTGATTTTGAACAATGACCTTGATTCTAAGCCTGAATACTACTTAAGGATACGTGTCTACACCAATGTCTGGCAGATTACTGAAAATAATGTACTTGGCTTGTATCACAAAACTTAATTGAATTCAACATACAAATATGAATTTTAGTACACACGACTGCAATTCTCCATTGTAGCTTCATCATTATGTTTCAATATGTGATGCAAATAGTGCTAGAATGGGATTAGCTGGTATGTTTTCACTGAGAGGGTCTTCCTACTGCAGACAACGAGCAGTCTGCAGCAGCAGTCCTAAGAGGGAAGTCTGCAGTACTTTCCATACTGGAAACACATTACTTCACTCTCATGCAGTGTAGGAGAGTACATATTCAGATGAGCAGCTGTCTGGGTCTTCTTCAGTCTCAACGTTTATTTATGCTTGTTTGTGTGTGTGTATGTGTGACAAATCAAGGACAAAGCAGAGATGACAGATAGGGCCAGAACAGATCCAGTATCTGCTATCTGCCTGGCAGCCTCCGGCGGTGATTCATGGAAGGGAGTGACCTCATGCGGCACCTCCAGCGGACTACACTCCTGCAGACACAAAACACACATACTTTTAAAAACACACAAAGTCTGGCTGACATGGACTTGTACATATAAAACACACACTTTCATATAGCTGACACAACACCGGTGTACTGAGGATAATAATAATAGTATACATTACATGGGGGAAATAAGGGACAGTTTACCCATGTTGACACTGATCTTTTTTATTCGTTTTATTATATATATATTTATAATATGTACATAAAAAAAAAAAATACAATGATCAAACTCAGCAGTGAGACAGAGAGCACCAAAGTGGACAAGCGAAAACAGAAAAGAAAAAGTGCGGATCAGGAGACGACCTGCATGATATTACATTATGATACGTTACATGATATTAATATGATTATTACGGTATTAAAGAACAATGTGTGCGCTCCTTTATTAAGCCATAGGAGAGCCACAAAGAAGTGTGAAAATTACATGGAAAAAAAACAAAAAGGGAAAAAGATCAGATTCTAGCAAAGTTCCATCATAATCACATTCATGAGTAAGCGCCCAACCAAAGCCCGCCCCTAACTCCACCCCCACATGTTGTCCCACCTACATTTCCTAAACCCCTCCCTCTTACCCGTCGATGGACCACAATATAACCACAGTATATTTTCAATGAATATATTAAAATCAGTAGAATATCAAGAATTCTTGGTAGGAAAAGCACATTTAGAACAAATCGAATGGGGTCTCACGCTGTTATGGCGTGAAACTTCCATTTTAGCGGGTCTGTGTGACCGAGTGTGTGTGTGTGTCTGTGTGGAGAGTTGCAAACAATCGTTTCATTCACATAAGGACTTGTGAGATTTGAGGGAAAAGCCTGTGTTCAGGGAGCAGGAATGTCATGCACACACATCCACCCCCACACTACTGTTCCATCCCTTCCTCCCAGCGATTACTTAGTCCTACCAGATCCTCAAATTCATCAGATCAAAATGACTGAGCATAAAATGAGAGCTGGCACACAACCCAGTCTAGTTGAGTCTTGCATGGTGGCACAGGGTTGGCTAAACCACAACTGTAAGGGCTCTACCAAAAAGACGACACACTAACAGTGCTAAGATGGCTGCTGTATCTACTACCCTAAAGAATCACATCTACTACAAATACTTTCTGTAAACCAATCAGATACCGCTTTCTGCCCTCGCATCTCTCTTCTAGACATTAATGCCATGTTCTGCAGACAGCAAGTGCTCACTAACTCGTCAGTATACATTGGACGTCACAGTTTTTAGAGGCTGAAATTGCATGCAGAAAGCATAGGCTACGTTACTACCTGGAGCTCTGAGCTGGGAGGCCGAGGCTGTGTCAACTTAAGTGCTGAGGAATTTCAACTATCTCCCGAAGACCGACCGGGAACGCCGGGAATGCTCCCAAAGTTACAAGCGAGATTCCGTTTTATCAATGAGTAGTAGGAGCCATTCACAGAGAACAATGTTGTAATATATTGATTGGGAATTCATATCCGGTCTGCATGCCAAGACCAGTCATTCAGTCCCTACTACCCCTAAACGTCCAAGCACGGTCCAACTCACTCCAACCCAATGAACCAGAACCAAGGACATGCTCTATGACCGTTACATGACCATGATGACCGCAACGACATAACATGCTCAAACCAAATGAAGCCAAAATGAACAAGGCTCAATAACCACGAAGATGACCATATAACATGACCGTACAACATGACCGTACAACATGCTTATATAGTTGTCGTTAGAGTAAGAACCTTCCCGTCTGCTCTTTACATAGTAATAAAGATTTACAGGTAGAAGATTAAAACTGTTACACAATGCCTACTGCACGGTGTCAGACTGTCAAGACCCACGGGGAAACCAAGAGGACAAAAATTAATATGTCAATTCCACACACAGTCACAACAGGCCCACTATAGTGCTGTAACGTGTCTATAGGTCCAGTCCTGACTAACAGCATGTCATCCTAACTCCAACCAATTTTCCTAAAGTCCCGGTGTAACCATGACTACTTCTACAGTTGTAAACCGTCTAGAAAAATGGATAGAAAACCGAGGTTGTAATAACCGACGAAGGCCAATATTCTTTGTTGTCAAGAACACAAAAGCTTAGAGGCCCATGTTCCCTGTACTGTCGTGCATTACATGAATGAAAGACCAGGGTTGGTTAAGGTCAGGGCTTAGAGGGTTTTCTCCACATTCCTGCTAGGTTCCATAGTTCCATAGGAATGCCTCTGAGAAATAACCCACTGCCATGAGAACCATGAGGACAGACTGGGAAGGGAACGCAGCAGGACAGGTTCATGTAGGAGGGACTCAGTCAGAACAGCCAGGCCCATTAAACACGCTATATAGAGGCTACTGGAACTAGCTAGCCGTTGACAACGATGAAGATTGAAGAACACCATTCACGCACTGATCTAAAGAGAGAGGCAATGAGTTGGCGTGTGGTCATAGTACTGTACGGAGACCTTGGTCTCTTGAACATAATTCGCTAGGTCAGGATGTCTCAAATGCACTGTGGGACACGCGACGACAAAGGGGGAATGGCGATACGGTCTGAGAAGTCGGTCACGGCCAAGGCGTAAAGAACCTGTGGTGTGACATGCTACACAAGTTACGAATCTTTAGGAGTTCAGTGAGGCACAGGAGGGAACAGTAGCTTTCAGAGACAACTCCCTGACTCCCCCGACCCGGTCAAACCAAAAAACAACATCCCAACCCACCCACCCGATAACGTCAATTCGACAACATTTCAAGCTATTTAAGCTTTTTAAAAATAAAAATGAATAAAAAAAATAAAATACAAATAAAATAAAATCATTGTAATAAACAATAAAACAATATTAATAATCTATTCATACGAACACAGAATATTGCCAATTTCTTGTTTCATATGTCCTGTTAATTAGTTGTGAATATCGGTTGCATTACCCAAGCCCCTACCTCCTCCTGCCACTAATCTAGTCCTACGTCATGCCCCGTTTTCTCTGTGTGTGTGTGTACTGTCTGTCCATGTTTTAGAACCACCTTGGGCATACTGTAATATAGTGTCCTGACAACTTAAAGACATACAAACATGACCTAAGCATATCTCACATTTATCTCTATTTTTTTTTTTTTTCATGTGAAATCCTAAGAGGAGCAGTGATGTGAGCTAACTAACACCATATATTACAGCGCTTAAAAGCCAAGTGTCTCTCTCTCTCCCACTCTCTCACTACATCCTCCCTTCTGCATGTAGAGGGATGAAGGGATGGAGGGATTCCAACTTCGACCAAAAGTGATCCTGTTCTGTGTCGAATCAACCTAAAGCGCAGGCTCTATGAGGAGTCAGAGCTATCCTTCCCACCACCCCCAGAACCCTCTTCTCCACACAGACTAAGTGTATGTCTCCCCTCTCAGCTGATGCCTCCCTTCAGAGTCTGGTCTATTCATTCTATTTATATGACACCTGCATCCTCATCAATTCATATGATGGATGCCTGCGTTGTTAGTACCCTGCTAGTGGTACAGGACTGTCGGCAGTCTGCTCCAATGGACGGATGCATGAGTATACATAGTGCATTGGCGTTACTATTGCATGTGGAACGTTGGCTAGATTGAACACTCACTTGATACCTATAGACAGACTTAAGATGGTGACGCGTCGCCATGACTACAAGGCACCCCAACAGTCTGAGATAAAACAGGCCCAATACTTAAATGATAGATTATTGTAGCACTCTAAACTTCATTTTGCTATGTGACTTCCATTGGGTTGTAATGGCAGACATAGCCTGAAGGAAAGAGAACCACACCTGTGACTACTTCCTATGGGAGAATCCCTCCGCCCCCTGGCCCACTATCAGTGTGTGTGTGTGTGTGTGTGTGTGCAGGAGAGGGAGATAATCTAAAACCTAATCTTATATCACCCAGTTCCCCTCTAAGTCAATACAAATCTTTTCTCATATCTGTTTACCTTCCTGCCTCATCGCTCGGCAAAAATGAAAAAGTTCTCAACCCCCCAACCTTTTCTCTTCACTATACGGTCTTCAAGTCGGCCCCCAGTTCTCACGCCTCAACTCCTCCCCTCCATCCCTTTCTCTCAACCTCTCCCTATCCAACCACCCATCCCTTGGCAAGAGTAAGAGAACGGGAGATGGAGATGGGAGCGGAGGGAGGCTGAGGGATGAAGAGGTGGAGGAAGTGAAGCCCAGGGCAGGGAGGGTGAAGAAGAGGAGGGCATTCAGAACAGGGTCCCGTTTAACAGCACCCCCCTCCAGACTGCCTGACAGGGGTGCTGTCTATCTTCAGGTTGGGCTTGTCCCCTCCGGCCGTGGCCCCGGGGCCCATCCTCTTCTTGATTTCAGCAGCCATGGTCATGAAGGCCTGCTCCACATTGGTGGCGTTCTTGGCACTCGTCTCCAGGAAAGGGATGGCCAGGGAGTCGGCAAACTCCTGCAGGCGGCAGACAGGGATAGAATAGATCAAACATAGATATAGAAAACATAGAACATACAAGGTAATGCCCAGCTGTTGTTGTATTGTCCATGGTGTTTAATTGTGAAAAGCAATGACAGTATGGTCTGTCATTTAGTCTGAGAGTTTAATATGCACTAGTGATGGGGGAAAACATGTATACAGTTGCATATCGCGACATTATATCTATACTTTGACTCAAAGTATCTTTTTTTTGTTTTTATCTGACCAAAGAAAATAAAATATCTAATATTATGCTATCGATCCCCTCAGGTATTACCACATTGATAAGGAGGACATAGCTTTCTAGAGATATTGAGTGCTCAAAACTAAGAAATGAGCTACTTTATTGATTTGTGTAGCCTGAAATCTCCTAAACACTACTCACTGGGAGTGTATTTCATCCGGGTTTGTAGATGTTGTATGGTAGCTGTACCTTGGCTGTTGTGTAGTCCACTACTTTCTTGGTGGTGAGGTCACACTTGTTCCCCACCAGCAGCTTGTTGACGTTCTCGCTGGCGTAGCGGTCGATCTCCTGCAGCCACTGCTTTACATTGTTGTACGACTCCTACAGAGCAGGACAGAGTTACACAAGACAGAGTGTGAGAATCGTGACAATGTATGGCTGCCTATCCTACAGGCATGTGAGAAACAGGCAGAGGGCTAATATGTCCACGCCATCACAGTTTAGTGAGTCAAAAGGACTTGGGAAGTACAGCATTTGATTTGATTAAGAATTTTTACAACCCAGTACGTCTAAGCACAGATCGCCTCTTTGAACTAATAACCCACCTGGTCTGTGACATCATAGACCACGATGATGCCGTGGGCCCCCCTGTAGTAACTGGAGGTGATGGTGCGGAACCTCTCCTGACCAGCGGTGTCCCACTGAGAGAGGGAGGGAGAGACAAACAGACTAGACTCACTTAATGACTGAACACACACTCACCTGTCATCACCCAAGTTCACATCACTCCTGTCCTGAAAGCATTTGGATTAGCACTAGCTATGTACGGTCAACGGAATATCACACTAACATCTATAGTTCCTCTCCTTGCATCTAAAGAGCCACGGTGGGAACAGAACTGGATCCCTGTTGTTTAGCCTTAGGGTGTGGTGTTACACTACAGAGAAAACACAGGAGGTAAAACTAAGCAACATAACTAGGTTACTGAACCGTTTATCAAATCTAATCAAGCCTTTATAACATCAGGAAATGGGCGCCACTGTTGGGAGTAAAGGCGGGGGGAGTGGGTAGTGGTGGCGGAGTTGGTGGTGGCGGTAGTAGTGTTGGTAGTAGTGGTGTTGGTAGTGGTAGTAGTAGTGGTGGTGGTAGTGGTAGTGTTAGTAGTAGTAGTGGTAGTGGTGGTAGTGTTAGTAGTAGTAGTGTTGGTAGTAGTGGTAGTGGTGTTGGTAGTAGTGGTAGTGGTGGTGGTAGTGGTAGTAGTGGTAGTGGTGGTGGTAGTAGTAGTGTTGGTAGTAGTAGTGGTGGTGGTGGTAGTGGTAGTAGTGGTAGTGGTGGTGGTAGTAGTGGTAGTGGTGGTGGTAGTAGTGGTAGTGTTAGTGTTAGTAGTAGTAGTGTTGGTAGTAGTGGTAGTGGTAGTAGTGGCTAGTGAGTAGTAGGGTAGTGGTGTTGGTAGTAGTGGTAGTGGCTTTAGAGTGGTAGTTGGTCGGTAGTGGTGGTAGTTGGTAGAGTAGTGGGTTGGTAGTAGTTGTATGGTAGTAGTGGTTATAGTAGTGGGTAGTGGGTTGGTTGTAGTAGTGTAGTGGTTTGTTGGTAGTGTGGTAGTGGTATTAGTGGTGAGTAGTGGTAGTAGAGTGGTGTTGGTTAGTAGTGGTAGTAGTGGTAGTAGTGGTGGTGGTAGTGGTGTTGGTAGTAGTGGTAGTAGTGGTGGTGGTAGTGGTGTTGGTAGTAGTGTTGGTAGTGGTAAGTCGAGTATGTGGTAGTGGTAGTAGTGGTTGGTGTAGGGTAGTAGCGTAGTGTTGGTTAGTAGTAGTAGGTTGTGGTGTAGTGGTAGTAGTGTGGTAGTGGTATAGGGTTGTAGTAGTGTAGTGTGGGTAGTAAGTAGTAGGTAGTAGTAGTAGTAGTGTTGGTAGTAGTGGTAGTAGTGTTAGTAGTGGTGGTGTTGGTAGTAGTGGTAGTAGTGGTGGTAGTGGCGGTGTTGGTAGTAGTGGTAGTAGTGGTGGTAGTGGCGGTGTTGGTAGTGGTGGTGGTAGTGGTAAAAATAGCCTATAAAGCCAACAAATAAACCCATTGCAGGTAGAAAATATCCTGATAAAAATAAATATCATATAAATCACATTGGCCTGTCTGCAATGAACTTGAAACATTGTATCAACTATTAACGTGGGTCCTGCCTGAAGCTCCTTGCAACATTGTATAAAATATTCTGGGCCCTCAGACAGACACAGCTGTAGGCTATTTGCGCTCGGGATAAGAAGTAATCAGGTAGGCCTATTTTATGACGTTTCCACTGGATCAGGGCATGACATTTCTCCCTTTCACGCCGAGTGGTTATCGAAAGGGAGCGAGCTGGAAAGATTTTTCAAATACATTGAGGAACTATTGTAATTCTCAATGGATGTAAAAACAGACTTTGTTTGCTTGCTGTTTGAGGTGAAGAAAATATTACTTTGAGGAGCTCCACAGCTCATTAGTGGTGGTGCATTAAGCCAATCAGAAACACTATCAGATCCCCAAATGGGTACATTTATAGGCCTACATTTGCGAGCAGGCCCGGTAGCCTACAGGCCTAGTTCTATGCGTAATCAGGTACGCGTCCTTACTCAACATTGACAGGAGCGTTCTAAACAAAAGACAATGACTAAATTGACAAAACATCGTAAATGGAATTAAATAAACCAAAACTTGTTTCTCACAAGTGTAGCATAGGTTGTGCGCTCTGCAAACAACGTGTCCACTCAGACAATGAGAACGGTAAAAGACTGGAATAATATTATATTGAATGCATTAACAGACATTACTGTAACCAAACAAACATTGTTGATTAGAAATGAACAGTAAATGTACTACTGGTGATACTGTATGTAATGGGGAATTGATAGACACTAACAATCAAACGCAAACAATTCACAAAATGAAGTTACGAAACAATGAATGTGCATAAATTTGCGGGAGAGCGTGCATTCTAGAAAGACGTGCATTGTGCAGCCACACTCCTTATCCTTCTTGGACTGTGCCATCCCCGCAGCCTCCGCAATGGATTAGTCTCTGCCTCCGCAATAGATTAGTTCACTGAGATGGGCGAGAATAAGACAGGTGGTGTGCCATAAAAAAATATTAATGTATTTGCTGCTGCTCGAAAAATAAATAAAAAATTGGTCCACCAACAGCCTATCGACCAAACAATCGACTAGTCGAATAATTGGGGTCAGTGGTGGTGGTGGTGATAGTGGTGGTGGTGATAGTGGTGGTGGTGATAGTGGTAGTGGTGGTGATAGTGGTGGTGGTGATAGTGGTAGTGGTGGTGGTGATAGTGGTGGTGATAGTGGTGGTGGTGGTGGTGATAGTGGTGGTGGTGTTGATAGTGGTGGTGGTGGTGGTGATGGTGATAGTGGTGGTGGTGTTGATAGTGGTGGTGGTGGTGATAGTAGTGGTGGTGGTGATAGTAGTGGTGGTGATAGTAGTGGTGGTGATAGTGGTGGTGGTGATAGTGGTGGTGGTGGTAGTAGTGGTGGTGATAGTGGTGGTGGTGGTAGTGTTGGTAGTGTCGTTAGTGGTGGTGGTAGCGTTGGTGGTAGTGGTGGTGGTGGTAGTAGTGTTTGTAGTAGTGTTGGTAGTAGTAGTGGTAGTGTTGGTAATGGTAATGGTTGTGGTGGTAGTAGTGGTGTTGGTAGTGGTGGTGGTAGTGTTGGTAGTAATGGTAGTGGTGGTGGTAGTGGTGGTGGTAGTAGTGGTAGTGGTGGTAGTAGTGGTGGTGGTAGTGTTGGTAGTAATGGTAGTGTTGGTAGTGTTGGTAATGGTAATGGTAGTGGTGGTGGTAGTGTTGGTGGTGGTGACATGCTGCAGTGTTCATTGTGTCAGACTCACAATCTGTAGTTTGATGGTCTTGCCGTCCAGCTCGATGGTGCGGATCTTGAAGTCTACACCGATGGTGCTGATGTAGCTCTCTGTGTAGGTGTCATCCTGGAGGGAGAACAGTTAGACATATCCAGGAACCTGCATTTTTGACAGAAGGCACCTGAACGCCACTTACTAAACAACTGTGTACAGTAATAGTATATACGGTAACTATACTTACAGCAAACCGGAGCAGAAGACAGGATTTTCCCACACCGGAGTCACCAATAAGGAGGAGCTTAAACAGGTAGTCACTGAAATGAAACCATCCAGCATTAGACCAAAGACTAGACATTCTAAACAGTGTTGCTACTTAACTCCAGTAATAAACCCTACGGATGTGACGTTGCATCAATTTCTTCTACTTAGGATTACTGTTGTCACAATACCAAAATTGTACTAACGATATGATACCGAGTAGTATCGCAATTCCACGGGGAAAAAAACAAAATCAGTGGCCTAGCATCCTGTTCGCCCCGTCCCCCGGACGGTTGTTCCCATTTTCTAAACGTTCTACGCAATGTGCTACGCTGAGAAGTATTTCTGTCTGTAATAAAGGGGAAAAACTCATTCTGATTAGCTGGGCCTGGCTCCCCAGTGGGTGGGCCTATGCCTTCCCAGGCCCACCCATGGCCTCTGCCCAGTCATGTGAAATCCATAGATTAGGGCCTAATTTATTTATTTCAATATACTGATTTCCTTCTATGAACTGTAACTCAGTAAAATCTTTGAAATGGTTGCATGTTGCGTTTATATTTTTGTTCATAATGATCTGCATATCATTGTGGCAGTAAGAGGGAAGCATTGCATGAAACCTTCTTTACTCTTCAGTTAACACAGACACACACACTCTCCATCCTTTCCTCTTTCCTCACACACGCTCTCTGGTCTCCCTCTCTCTCTCAGAAGCGGTGCTCCATTTTCCCCTCTCTGGAACTCAGAGGCTGCATGACAGTGAACTTGCAAAGTCTACTCAGATTGGCCTGTGCACTTGGTTATGACAGGCGATTAAATTATACAATGTACAACATTGCTCCCTGCTCCAATGTAACAACTGTACAAATCTAACAGAACACTCATCAGGGCCTGCATCCCCTCTCGCCCTCACGGCTAAATTATATTTTAAAAACCTGATGGAAAAATAGATGCGCATGAAGAGCAGACAGAGGGAAGCAGGTGAGTGAAGGCTGGTTGGGGATGCGGCTGGCTGATTACAGCTGCCACACATGATATGTGCATATTATTGGACCTGCGCATACAAGAGACTAAAGGCTGTTGCTTAAATTCAACTGAATTTATAAACAAAACAGACTTTATAAACATCTTATAACAGGCGCCAGCAGGTTCTTTGGATCGGTAAGGCTGGAAAACTTGGTAGTATCATATGAAACGGTACTACGGTATTCTAAAATATTGGTATCATAAGTTGAATTATGTTTTGGTACCGTGATATTACGGTGGTACCGGTATACCTTGCAACACTACTTAGGATTGCTTAGGATTGTAGGCTAAGGCCCAATATAGAGAAAGTGTGGGGAAAGACACTCCTGAGGCAACAATTTATCACATAATGTTTTTGTTTTTTAAAAACATTTTTAGTCATTTAGCAGACGCTCTTATCCAGAGCGACTTACAGTTAGGTGAGTGCACACATTTTTCATACTGGCCCCCCGTGGGAATCGAACCCACAACCCTGGTGTTGCAAGCGCCATGCTCTACCAACTGAGCTACAGGAGGGCTACCAATATTAATTTGTGTTCAAGCAACTACTTCTACATAGGGCATTTAGCTGTGCCTCTGGCAGAACACAGAACTAATTCACCGATATGGAACTGAAATGTTTAACATTATGCAAAGCAACTATCATTACTGCCCTTACGCACAGTATGTACTCCAAAATCCACCTTCAGCCAAGTATGGCTAGCTGCAGTCCAATATGGCGACCGGAGTATGGGCGAGTGGGTGTGTCGAAAGGAGTTGGTGTATGGAAAGCGAATCAGCTAATTGGGCAGTCACTCAATTAGCCTGTGTCAGCAAAAAAAAAATTGATTGGTAAATGAGTCTAGCGGCCAGCTATCTAAACTTGTAGTAAGCAAGTCCGAATTACCGACCGGGGTGGGGCCCATTCATAATCACTTATCATATTAAAAACTGCAAACATTTGCCTCCACCCTATGGCAAATGTGTAGAATTGCAGGAAATGAACTTTAAAAGCTTAAATGTTCTCTCTTCGCTGTCACAAGGGGGCCGCTAAAATGTTTTGCTCGCAAGGTGAGGGGGTGAGGGCTATCAATGTGTTTATGCAGACCCATGAGCTACTGCAGCCACTCATGATGAGTTCCGATTTTTGTGGCCCCCACCCCCATCAAAATTACCCATCCATGGTCTAATCTATAATAAAGGTAAATTAAATAGCGCTTTTGACACACCTACACTCTGGTCTCCATATTGGGATGGATCTCCTTCTCCCTTCCGCACATCCGATAACATTACTCATTACTGCCACGCACAGGTCGGCTGATCCAGCAGCAGTACAGTATCGCGAAAGATCATTGATTTTATTTAGACATTTTTTGGAAGTACATGTCGTAACGGCAGTAATGACGATAGTTGTTCTGCGAAACTCCATATTCTGGTGAGTACCGAACGTATTGACATAACGTTTGCAGAGCTGGTCAATGGGACTTTGAATTGAAGGATCCTGTGCGTCAGAGCAGACCTCGTCTCCTCAAGCCCATATACTCTGGTACAGTAGCATTAACAACATAGTTAACATTAGCTAGTTAGCTACATTACAACTAGAGACAAAGAACAGAGTGCCATCACAGAACTGTGGGTGCGTGTGTTTCTGACAACGCGATCTCAAAGCAAGACATGCTACTTTAACTACTGCGCCGGTTTGACGTTTCAGCACCACGTCCTATTTCTCCGGTTGCCACCGCACCGAGCATTTCAGGGCCACACACAAGTGACAGATGTTTGAGGGACTAGGAAGCTAGCTATATTTATTGACAATGCGTATATCAATGACGTGATAGGTAGCTAGCTATGTTTATGTAAAACATTATGCTAGCTAACGTTAGCTGGCACGAGAAAGCGATCAGCTGACGCTAGCTAGCTGAATAGCTACATACCGCTAGAGACTCAAACGTTATAGAACTGCCCGCGCACTACTAAAACAAAACAACAATAGCGTGTTGGATTTATGCATGTACCATTACAGTAAAATATATTAGTGGTTCTCGGGGCGGCGGGTGTACTCACTATTCTGGATTCATGATTTGACTGACGTTCGGGATGTGTTTTTCTTTCGGCGATTTGACTGTTCCTTCCTCCTCTCACTCACTCACAAGCAAAAGATGGCTTGTAGGTCTGGATATCCGAGGCACTTGAATGTCTATTTCACCGTCTTTTTTACCTACCCTTGTCCTTCTTGGGTGTCTAATCGTTATGAGGCTATATAAAGTTTACAGACATTCCTATTTTCTTCTGATTTGACAGGTTTAAATTATCATTTTTCTTTCTTTCTGTGTCCGCTCCTCTCTCGAAGTACAAGATGGCTGCGCAGGTGCGGCAGTGACATCAAATGACGTGGCACTACAGACAAATCTAGAACGGGTCTGATGATGGGAGTTGTAGTTCAAAGTCTACTGCCGCATTCAAAACAACTGGGAAATCTCCGATTTAAGTGCGTTCAAGACAACTGGGAACTCAAAAAAAAACCGCGCTCCAACTGGGAGAATTCGTTTTGTACAGTCATCCAACTCGGAATTCCAAGTCGAGAACTCGGGCCTCTTTCTAGAGCTCCGACCTGAAGATCACTGACGACCTCGTTTCTTTTCGAGTTCCCAGTTGTCCTGCAAGCACCATACCAAGACATGGTGACGCCACAGAGTTTCTAAGCCCAGAGGCGCAACATCGCGAGACTTCTGCGAACGCTTGCGAAACAGACCAAGCAGAACAGGCTGGGGTTTGAGAAGTCAGAGAAAAGTGAACAATTATTCCTTGGTTGTTACTTTTCTCGAAATCTAAAGGCACAACCTAGATTCGAGGCAATTTCTTAAGTAGTTGAACATGGTATTACTCCACCCTAGCTAAAGTGACAAACTGACACGTTTTCATTTTCGTCAAAAACAACTGTATATCGGAGTGCCTTTGATTTGACGGCCTGCACATGCGCAGTTCGGCGACCGTTAGACCCGATGATGTGTTTCTACGTATGAGGTTTGCAAGCAAAGGTCGCCATGAGATCGCCTACAACATTTACATTTGAGTCATTTAGCAGACGCTCTTATCCAGAGCGACTTACAGTTAGTGAGTGCATACAATTTCATACTGGCACCCCGTTGGAAACGAACCCACAACCCTGGCGTTGCAAGCGCCATGCTCTACCACCTGAGCTACAGGGGACGACAAGCGTCATCGGGGATTTCTATTGGAGAATAAATTTTAGCCTATCTTCATACTGTACTGTCTTTGGTGACAGATTATTTTTACATTTACATTTACGTCATTTAGCAGACGCTCTTATCCAGAGCGATTTACAAATTGGTGCATTCATCTTATGATAGCCAGTGGGACAACCACTTGTTTTTGTTTTTTTTATGGGGGGGTAGAATGATTACTTTTATACTATTCCAGGTATTTTTATTTTATTTTATTTCACCTTTATTTAACCAGGTAAGCCAGTTGAGAACAAGTTCTCATTTACAACTGCGACCTGGCCAAGATAAAGCAAAGTAGTGCGATAAAAACAACAACACAGAGTTACATATGGGGTAAAAAAAAAAAACATAAAGTCAAAAATACAACAGAAAATATATATATACAGTGTGTGCAAATGTAGCACGTTATGGAGGTAAGGCAATAAATAGGCTATAGTGCAAATTAATTACAATTAGTATTAACACTGGAATGCTAGATGTGCAAGAGATTATGTGCAAATAGAGATACTGGGGTGCAAAAGAGCAAAATAAATAACAATATAGGGATGAGGTAGTTGGGTGGGCTAATTTCAGATGGGCTGTGTACAGGTGAGTGATCGGTAAGGTGCTCTGACAACTGATGCTTAAAGTTAGTGAGGGAGATAAGAGTCTCCAGCTTCAGAGATTTTTGCAATTCGTTCCAGTCATTGGCAGCAGAGAACTGGAAGGAATGGCGGCCAAAGGAGGTGTTGGCTTTGGGAATGACCAGTGAGATATACCTGCCGGAGCGCAGACTACGGGTGGGTGCTGCTACGGTGACCAATGAGCTAAGATAAGGCGGGGATTTGCCTAGCAGTGATTTATAGATGGCCTGGAGCCAGTGGGTTTGACGACGAACATGTAGTGAGGACCAGCCAACAAGAGCGTACAGGTCACAGTGGTGGGTAGTGTATGGGGCTTTGGAGACAAAACGGATGGCACTGTGATAGACTACATCCAATTTGCTGAGTAGAGTGTTGGAGGCTATTTTGTAAATGACATCGCCGAAGTCAAGGATCGGTAGGATAGTCAGTTTTACGAGGGCATGTTTGGCAGCATGAGTGAAGGAGGCTTTGTTGCGAAATAGGAAGCCGATTCTAGATTTAACTTTGGATTGGAGATTCTTAATGTGAGTCTGGAAGGAGAGTTTACAGTCTAACCAGACACCTAGGTATTTGTAGTTGTCCACATACTCTAGGTCAGACCCGTCGACAGTGGTGATTCTAGTCGGGTGGGCGGGTGCCAGCAGCGTTCGATTGAAAAGCATGCATTTAGTTTTACTAGTGTTTAAGAGCAGTTGGAGGCTACTGAAGGAGTGTTGTATGGCATTGAAGCTCGTTTGGAGGTTTGTTAACACAGTGTCCAATGAAGGGCCAGATGTATACAAAATGGTGTCGTCTGCGTAGAGGTGGATCTGAGAGTCACCAGCAGCAAGAGCGACATCATTGATGTACACGGAGAAAAGTGTCGGCCCAAGAATTGAACCCTGTGGCACCCCCATAGAGACTGCCATAGGTCCAGACAACAGGCCCTCCGATTTGACACACTGAACTCTATCTGAGAAGTAGTTGGTGAACCAGGCGAGGCAGTCATTTGAGAAACCAAGGCTATTTAGTCTGCCAATAAGAATGCGGTGGTTGACAGAGTCGAAAGCCTTGGCCAGGTCGATGAAGACGGCTGCACAGTACTGTCTATTATCAATCACGGTTATAATATCGTTTAGGACCTTGAGCGTGGCTGAAGTGCACCCATGACCAGCTCGGAAACCGGATTGCATAGCGGAGAAGGTACGGTGGTATTCGAAATGGTCGGTGATCTGTTTGTTAACTTGGCTTTCAAATACTTTCGAAAGGCAGGGCAGGATGGATATAGGTCTGTAGCAGTTTGGATCTAGAGTGTCACCCCCTTTGAAGAGGGGGATGACCGCGGCAGCTTTCCAATCTCTGGGGATCTCAGACGTTACGAAAGAGAGGTTGAACAGGCTAGTAATAGGGGTTGCGACAATTTCGGCGGCTAGTTTTAGAAAGAAAGGGTCCAGATTGTCTAGCCCAGCTGATTTGTAGGGGTCCAGATTTTGCAGCTCTTTCAGAACATCAGCTGTCTGAATTTGTGTGAAGGAGAAGCGGGGGGGGGGCATGGGCAAGTTGCAGCGGAGGGTGCAGAGTTGGTGGCCGGGGTAGTGGTAGCCAGGTGGAAAGCATGGCCAGCCGTAGCAAAATGCTTGTTGAAATTCTCGATTATTGTAGATTTATCGGTGGTGATAGTGTTTCCTAGCCTCAGTGCAGTGGGCAGCTGGGAGGAAGTGCTCTTATTCTCTATGGACTTTACAGTGTCCCAAAACTTTTTGGAGTTAGTGCTACAGGATGCAAATTTCTGTTTGAAAAAGTTAGCCTTTGCTTTCCTGACTGCTTGTGTATATTGGTTCCTAACTTCCCTGAAAAGTTGCATATCGCGGGGGCTATTTGATGCTAATGCAGTACGCCACAGGATGTTTTTGTGCTGGTCAAGGGCAGTCAAGTCTGAGGAGAACCAGGGGCTATATCTGTTCTTAGTTCTGTATTTTTTGAATGGGGCATGTTTATTTAAGATTGAGAGGAAATTACTTTTAAGGAACAACCAGGCATCCTCTACTGACGGAATGAGATCTATATCCATCCAGGATACCTGGGCCAGGTCAATTAGGAAGGCCTGCTCGCTAAAGTGTTTTAGGGAGCGTTTGACAGTGAGGGAGCGTTTGACAGTATATTCCTTAAAGAGGTAGGGTTTCAAGTGTCTCCTGAAAGTGGTCAGTGACTCCGCTGTCCTGTTGTTCCACCATTGGGGTGCCAGAGCAGCGAATAGCTTTGACTGGGCTGAGCGGGAACTGTGCTTCCGTAGAGGTAGGGGGGCTAGCAGGCCAGAGGTGGAGATCACACTCTATTCTTGCACAATATCACTCTTTCTTCATGCAAATTTGAATTCTATGGAAGTAGGAAAATGTAATGCTTTTACAGTGGGGGAAAAAAGTATTTGGTCAGCCACCAATTGTGCAAGTTCTCCCACTTAAAAAGATGAGAGAGGCCTGTCATTTTCATCATAGGTACACGTCAACTATGACAGACAAATTGAGAGAGAAAAATTCCAGAAAATCACATTGTAGGATTTTTTTATGAATTTATTTGCAAATTATGGTGGAAAATAAGTATTTGGTCACCTACAAACAAGCAAGATTTCTGGCTCTCACAGACCTGTAACTTCGTCTTTAAGAGGCTCCTCTGTCCTCCACTCGTTACCTGTATTAATGGCACCTGTTTGAACTTGTTATCAGTATAAAAAGACACCTGTCCACAACCTCAAACAGTCACACTCCAAACTCCACTATGGCCAAGACCAAAGAGCTGTCAAAGGACACCAGAAACAAAATTGTAGACCTGCACCAGGCTGGGAAGACTGAATCTGCAATAGGTAAGCAGCTTGGTTTGAAGAAATCAACTGTGGGAGCAATTATTAGGAAATGGAAGACATACAAGACCACTGATAATCTCCCTCGATCTGGGGCTCCACGCAAGATCTCACCCCGTGGGGTCAAAATGATCACAAGAACGGTGAGCAAAAATCCTAGAACCACACGGGGGGACCTAGTGAATGACCTGCAGAGAGCTGGGACCAAAGTAACAAAGCCTACCATCAGTAACACACTACGCCGCCAGGGACTCAAATCCTGCAGTGCCAGACGTGTCCCCCTGCTTAAGCCAGTACATGTCCAGGCCCGTCTGAAGTTTGCTAGAGTGCATTTGGATGATCCAGAAGAGGATTGGGAGAATGTCATATGGTCAGATGAAACCAAAATATAACTTTTTGGTAAAAACTCAACTCGTCGTGTTTGGAGGACAAAGAATGCTGAGTTGCATCCAAAGAACACCATACCTACTGTGAAGCATGGGGGTGGAAACATCATGCTTTGGGGCTGTTTTTCTGCAAAGGGACCAGGACGACTGATCCGTGTAAAGGAAAGAATGAATGTGGCCATGTATCGTGAGATTTTGAGTGGAAAAGCTCCTTCCATCAGCAAGGGCATTGAAGATGAAACGTGGCTGGGTCTTTCAGCATGACAATGATCCCAAACACACCTCCCGGGCAATGAAGGAGTGGCTTCGTAAGAAGCATTTCAAGGTCCTGGAGTGGCCTAGTCAGTCTCCAGATCTCAACCACATAGAAAATCTTTGGAGGGAGTTGAAAGTCCGTGTTGCCCAGCGACAGCCCCAAAACATCACTGCTCTAGAGGAGATCTGCATGGAGGAATGGGCCAAAATACCAGCAACAGTGTGTGAAAACCTTGTGAAGACTTACAGAAAACGTTTGACCTGTGTCATTGCCAACAAAGGGTATATAACAAAGTATTGAGAAACTTTTGTTATTGACCAAATACTTATTTTCCACCATAATTTGCAAATAAATTCATAAAAAATCCTACAATGTGATTTTCTGGATTTTTTTCTCCTCATTTTGTCTGTCATAGTTGACGTGTACCTATGATGAAAATTACAGGCCTCTCTCATCTTTTTAAGTGGGAGAACTTGCACAATTGGTGGCTGACTAAATACTTTTTTTCCCCACTGTATGTAGCTATGGATTTCAAAGATCATCCCTAAAACAATGTTCATTATTTAAAAAAAGTATCAAACTTTATTCAAGTTGACATATAATGGATTATCAAACATTATTTACAGAAGTTGGAGAAACATTGTGACACACCAATCATCAGTAGAGAAGGTAATGCCCAGCTGTTGTAATCTGTCTGCAACACACACACACACACACACACACACACACACACACACACACACACAGAGAGAGAGATACTGTACATATAAAAGTGTCAAGGTGATTTGAATTGATCGATATTTGATATGTTGATTTGTGCCCTGGTATCTAACCACAGAGATAACACATGGAATAAACACAGTCAAACACGCTTTGATTGTTGTAGGCTATAACTGTAGCTGACAAGAACATAAAACACCAAACTGACTGAAACACAAAAACACCATAGAACGGTTTACAGAGCAGAGTCTCTTTCACAAAAAGCATCTATAAACCACCCACAACGCCATCCTAATCCACTGTCTTCACAGCAGATTCACTTTTCGTACACAACAGATATCCTTCCTCATCTTTCTTGGGTGTAGGTTTAGCAGTAGCCCCAGCCCCCACAGGGGTGGGCAGGTACAGGTTCCCCACTGCGCCCCCCTCAGAATCGAGGTCGTCGTGTCCATCGGCAACCCACTGACTGTGAGTGGCAGCCTCCAGGCCCTGATTGATGTAGTGGGCCTCCTGGCTGGCCTCCAGCGGCGGCAGCTCACACAGAAGGGCTTTGAGCGTCTCCCCCAGCTCCCTGAAACCAGGCCTGTGTCCCGGCTCCCTATGCCAACAACTCAGCATCACCTCATAACTAAGGGGGAGATGAGAGGTGCAGGGAGAGAGATGAGTAGATATACAGTGCATAAAATTGAGTGAGATGAGAGAGAAAGAAAGAGAGAGAGAGGGGAGAGAGAGAGGGAGGTGAAGAGGGAAGAGAGAGAAAGAGAGAGAGAGAGAAGAGAGAGAGAGAGAGAGAGAGAGGGGGGAGGGAGAGGGAAAGAGAGGGAGGGAGGGAGGGAGAAAGAGAGGGAGGGAGGAAGAGAGAAAGAGGGGGGAGTGATTAGAAAGAGTGGGAGTTGGACGACGCCGGATTTAGAAGTGGAGCTCCCTCTTTGTTTCATTCGGAGTTCTTTAGATCTTCTTTCTTTTGGCCCCGCTCTTTCGAGCACTAGGGGGGACTTTCGAGGTAGAGAGGGAGGGAGGGAGGGAGGGAGGGATAAATAAATAAAGAGAGAGAGGGAGGGAGAGAGAGGAAGAGGGGGAGAGAGAAAGAGAGAGGAATAAGTCAGACAGTGCAGAAAGGAAGAGAGAAGGGGAGAAGAAGATGGATTGAGATCCAGGGATGGAGAGAGGATAAAGGAAAAGGGAGACCCAGTACAGTATCGGAGAGAGGGAAAGGAAGATGGATTTAGAGGGGGAGAGCGAGAGGCAGGGGGAACATATGATTCATTACACAGACAATATCACCTCTTTGTACATGCTCCATGTTGCCCAACTCTCAGTTACAGCCTGTCGTGCCAATAAGGCTCACGTTGATTCAGTTAATTAGGGCTACAGAACTACAGGGGAGGTCCAGAAGCTAACCAATAAATATTTGGGGAGAAACCAGGAGCACGTTAGGACCCACTGGGCAGATGTCAGTTCAACGTCTAACTTTGATCAGAGGTGTAAAGTACTTAAGAAAAAATACTTGAAAGTACTACTTAAGTCGTTTTTTGGGGGTATCTGTATTTTACTATTTATATTTTCGACAACCTTTACTTTTACTCCAATACATTCCTGAAGAAAATATGTACTTTTTACTCCATACATTTTCACTGGCACCCAAAAGTACTGGTTACATTTTGAATGCTCAGGCAGGACAGCAATATGGTCTAATTCACGTATCTATTAATATAACGTGTTGCCATCCCTACTGCCTCTGATCTGGAGGACTCACTAAACACAAATACTGCGTTTGCAAATAGTGCTGGCTGTCCGTAAATTTAAAAAACAAGAATATCATGCCATCTGGTTTGCTTAATACAAGGAATTTGATGTATGGCATTTACTTTTACTTTATACTTTTGCTCAAGTATGACAATTTAGTACTTTTTCCACCACTGTACTTAAGTACATTTAAAACCAGATACTTTTAGACTTTTACTCAAGTGGTATTTTACTGGGTGACTTTCACTTTTATTTGAGTCATTTTCTATTAAGGGTATTTTTACTTTTACTCAAGTATGACCATTGAGTACTTTTTCCACCACTGGCTTTGATATACATTTGGTTGAGTTGTCAAAACTAAACTAAAATTTCACCCTGTACTTGGATGTAGGTTAAAAGTTGGGTAAAAAATATACGAAATTCACTTACGTTGATTACTTTTTGCAAATCCAATCAGTTTTCCACATTGATTCAACGTCATCACATTACATTTTTTGGTTGAAATGACGTGGAAACAACGTTGATTCAACCAGTTTCTGCCCAGTGGGGTACAAACGTGGCCCACGTTGTCAACTACTCTGTGTGAATCTGTAAACTGAAGTTTTCACTAAATACAGCTACACATTCAAATGATGTATGAATGTTAATGCAAAACATTCTCAATTAATTATTGCACTCACACATTACATTGTAAACAGAGGCTAGTGGTTACCATATCTACATTCACTAGATCAGTGCTTGTGAACTTGAGCTACATCCCCCCACTGATTCCATAACAAGTGAGGTCACACTTCTAAACTAGACAAAAATAAAGTGAGGACTAACAGTTTGTCATCACACTCAGGAGGCTTGAGTCTGTGTCCAGCGTTCAGCAGCTCCAGGAGCTCATAGTTGTGGACCCCAGGATACGGTGTCCTTCCCCTGGACACTATCTCCCACATGGTGACCCCAAATGACCACTGTAGTAAAGGGGCACACACACACACATACACACTTTCTTCAATTTAAACATGCATTGACATTATAACACCAAGTTATCTTTATGATCAACCTCTGCTAGCTTCAGTAATGAGTAGCAAACAGAGTTTGTCCAGGTCAGGTCACACTGCTGGTCCTAGTGATGGGTCAGTCAGATGTCATGCCAGTCATCTCTTAGTCATGTGTGACTTACCACGTCACTCTTGCTGGTAGAGATGGACTCTGATAGGCTCTCTATGGCCATCCACTTGACTGGCATGCGGATAGCCACTGTCTGTCTGTAGTAGTTGTTGCTGTATATCTTCTTGGAGAGGCCGAAGTCAGCCACACACACACGCAAGTCATCCCCCAACCTGGGAAAGACACACACACACACAAGTCATCCCTCAACCTGGGAAAGACACACATACACACACAAGTCATCCCTCAACCTGGGAAAGACACACACACACACAAGTCATCTCTCAACCTGGGAAAGACACACACACACACACAAGTCATCCCTCAATCTGGGAAAGACACACACACACAAGTCATCCCTCAACCTGGGAAAGACACACACACACACACACACACAAGTCATCCCTCAACCTGGGAAAGACACACACAAGTCATCCCCCAAACTGGGAAAGGCACACACAAGTCATCCCTCAACCTGGGAAAGACACACACACGAGCGCAGACACACACAGATACACACACAGCAAGTCTGACTGGTAGTCAACTACGTTATGCACTATTTATTAATATGTACTTACAGCTACAAAGAAAACATGTTTAATATTGCATGATCATCTGTATGCCTATTCATTGTGACAAGGCTTTGTTTCAATTGATTTACCAACCACTGTATCCATCCATCCCACTATCCTGATATCAATCTGTGGCTTGGTACCATGTCCTCGAAGGCCTGGAAGAACCTTACCCATCCTCACTGAACATGTTGGTAGGTTCCATCTTATAGTATGCCCTTAGCAGAATACCAGTGGTGTGGACATAGATCAGTGGAGGCTGCTGAGGGGATGACGGCTCATAATAATGGCTGGAACGGAGCAAATGGAATGGCACCAAACCATGTGTTTGATACCATTCCACTGATTCCACTCCAGCCATTACCACGAGGCCGTCCTCCCCAATTAAGGTGCCACCGACCTCCTGTGACATAGATGCAGTCTTCCTTTGAACAAAGAGGCCTTACCTGAGGCTCCCATGTAAGGACACCCTGATTGACTGGCACGCCCTGGTGGACTTACATGCAGTTGCGTGCAGCCAGGTCCCTGTGCAAAAAGCCCTGTGAACTCAGATACTCCATCCCTGCTGCAATGTCAACCATGAAGCGCAGAAGACTCTGGTGAGGCACAAACTGTGAGGAGGGAAGAGGAATTCATTTAGATTATACATATTAGTCAGAGACTGTGTACGTGTGATGTGCGTCCTTTGTGTCCATGCCTCTTTGTGTATGTGTGTGCGTGCGTGCGTGTGTGTGTATGTGTGTGCGTGCGTGTGTATGTGTGTGCGTGTGTGTGTCTCACCATGGGAATATCCCCGTAACGGGCAGCGATGAGGAACCGGCGCAGGTCTCCATGCTTCATGAAGGGTAGGATCACCAGAGGGACTGGCAGAGGAGAATCCTGCTCATGCTGCAGAGTGACCCCTGCAGGACAAACACAGATACTTTCAGAGGATGCCAATATTCCAACTTTCAGAGGATGCCAATATTCCAACTTTCAGAGGATGCCAATATTCCAACTTTCAGAGGATGCCAGTATTGCAACAAGAATTTGAATGATGAATGGAATGTTGAATGATAGCATTAAAGTCGGCATTAAAATACGTTACAGAGTAAGGTGAGCTAATAGGGGCGTCTTACCAAGAAGTTTGACAACGTTGTTATGGTCAAAGTGCTGCATGATCTCTGCTTCCTTCAGAAACGAGTCTAAATCCTCCTGACTGTGTAGTCCAACTGAAGCCACACAGGGAGAATATATACAGTATAAACTATACAGACCACAGGTAGCAGGTGGCACCTTCATTGGTGAGGACGGGCTCATTAATGGCTGGAATGGAATCAATGGAATAGTATCAAACATATCGGTTCCCCTGTGTTTGATAACATTCCATTCACTCCATTCAAGCCATTATTATGAGCCGTCCTCCTCTCTGCAGCCTCCTGTGCTACAGACGTACAGCACTAAGGAATAGGCTGCATTCATGTTACATGGGAATAATTCAAGATATCCATTCATGTTACATGGGAATAATTCAAGATATCCATTAATGTTACATGGGGATAATTCAAGATATCCATTCATGTTACATGGGAATAATTCAAGATATCCATTCATGTTACATGGGAATAATTCAAGATATCCATTAATGTTACATGGGGATAATTCAAGATATCCATTCATGTTACATGGGGATAATTCAAGATATCCATTCATGTTACATGGGAATAATTCAAGATATCCATTAATGTTACATGGGGATAATTCAAGATATCCATTAATGTTACATGGGGAAAATTCAAGATATCCATTCATGTTACATGGGGATAATTCAAGATATCCATTCATGTTACATGGGGGATAATTCAAGATATCCATTCATGTTACATGGGAATAATTCAAGATATCTATTAATGTTACATGGGGATAATTCAAGATATACATTCATGTTACATGGGGATAATTCAAGATATCCATTCATGTTACATGGGGATAATTCAAGATATCCGATCATGTTACATGGGAATAATTCAAGATATCCATTCATGTTACATGGGAATAATTCAAGATATCTATTAATGTTACATGGGGATAATTCAAGATATACATTCATGTTACATGGGAATAATTCAAGATATCCATTCATGTTACATGGGAATAATTCAAGATATCCATTAATGTTACATGGGAATAATTCAAGATATCCATTAATGTTACATACATTTACATTACATTTTAGTCATTTAGCAGACGCTCTTATCCAGAGCGACTTACAGTTAGTGAATACATATTTTTTATACTGGCCCCCCGTGGGAATTGAACCCACAACCCTGGCGTTGCAAACGCCATGCTCTATCAACTGAGCTACATCCCTGCCGGCCATTCCCTCCACTACCCTGGACAACGCTGGGCCAATTGTGCGCCGCCCATGAGTCTCCCGGTCGCGGCCGGCTGCGACAGATCCTGGATTCGAACCAGGATCTCTAGTGGCACAGTTAGCACTGCGATGCAGTGCCTTAGACCACTGCGCCACTCAGGAGCTATTCAAGATATCCATTCATGTTACATGGGAATAATTCAAGATATCCATTAATGTTACATGGGAATAATTCAAGATATCCATTAATGTTACATGGGGATAATTCAAGATATCCATTCATGTTACATGGGGATAATTCAAAATATCCATTAATGTTACATGGGGATAATTCAAGATATCCATTAATTTTACATAGGGAAAATTCTAAATATCCATCAATGTTACATGGGGCTAATTCAAGATATCCATTAATGTTACATGGGGATAATTCAAGATATCCATGAATGTTACATGGGGATAATTCAAGATATCCATTCATGTTACATGGGGATAATTCAAGATATCCATTCATGTTACATGGGAATAATTCAAGATATCCATTAACGTTACATGGGAATAATTCAAGATATCCATTAACGTTACATGGGAATAATTCAAGATATCCATTAACGTTACATGGGAATAATTCAAGATATCCATTAACGTTACATGGGAATAATTCAAGATATCCATTAATGTTACATGGGAATAATTCAAGATATCCATTAACGTTACATGGGAATAATTCAAGATATCCATTAACGTTACATGGGAATAATTCAAGATATCCATTAATGTTACATGGGAATAATTCAAGATATCCATTAACGTTACATGGGAATAATTCAAGATATCCATTAACGTTACATGGGAATAATTCAAGATATCCATTAACGTTACATGGGAATAATTCAAGATATCCATTAACGTTACATGGGAATAATTCAAGATATCCATTAACGTTACATGGGAATAATTCAAGATATCCATTAATGTTACATGGGAATAATTCAAGATATCCATTAACGTTACATGGGAATAATTCAAGATATCCATTAACGTTACATGGGGATAATTTAAGATATCCATTAATGTTACATGGAATAATTCAAGATATCCATTAATGTTACATGGGAATAATTCAAGATATCCATTAACGTTACATGGGAATAATTCAAGATATCCATTAACGTTACATGGGAATAATTCAAGATATCCATTAATGTTACATGGGAATAATTCAAGATATCCATTAACGTTACATGGGAATAATTCAAGATATCCATTAATGTTACATGGGAATAATTCAAGATATCCATTAACGTTACATGGGAATAATTCAAGATATCCATTAATGTTACATGGGGATAATTCAAGATATCCATGAATGTTACATGGGGATAATTCAAGATATCCATTCATGTTACATGGGGATAATTCAAGATATCCATTAACGTTACATGGGGATAATTCAAGATATCCATTAATGTTACATGGGGATAATTCAAGATATCCATGAATGTTACATGGGGATAATTCAAGATATCCATTCATGTTACATGGGGATAATTCAAGATATCCATTCATGTTACATGGGAGTAATTCAAGATATCCATTCATGTTACATGGGAATAATTCAAGATATCCATTAACGTTACATGGGAATAATTCAAGATATCCATTAATGTTACATGGGAATAATTCAAGATATCCATTCATGTTACATGGGAATAATTCAATATATCCATTAATGTTATATGGGCATAATTCAATATATCCATTAATGTTACATGGGAATAATTCAATATATCCATTCATGTTAAATGGGGATAATTCCCTGAATGATGCGTACCTCTCATGGTCTTGACAGCTACTTTGATGTCCATCCCTTCCTCTTGAGTAAAGATCCCCTCGTAGACAGAGCCAAACTCTCCTGGAGGTGCAGTCAGTCAAAACACATTATAATTCACTAAAAACATGCTTCATTATCAGGATATATCAATCAGAGGTAGAATAGAACAACAGGCTGTAGAATAGAATAGTCTCCTTGACTGACCAGCTCCCAGCTCCTTTCCCAGGGTCAGCAGGTTCCTGTCCACCAGGACATCCCTCAGACTGGTCAGTAGTCTGTCACTAACACCCTCCAGCAACTGGACCACACCAGGTACCACCAGCGCTATAGGAGAAAAGGGAGAGGGGGGAGTCCAACGGGAACACAACACTGTTATCTACATGGATAGGACTGTCAAATTAACTAGCTGAGTCAAATACTGTGTCTACTGTTTATAGTGAATTGTTGGCAGTTTTAGACTCACTGTTGACTTCCTGAGGGGCAGCGTGTGGGTTCTCATTACGACAATAGGTCACACCTGTGTGAAAAGGCAGCAGCTCCACCTGCTGGTCTTCACTGGAAAATAAATATATATCAACGTCTACATCCAAGCTAGATCACAAAGGCCGCAAAGGCTCTGTCCCCAGCAGAGGAGGCTGGTGGGAGGAGCTATAGGAGGACGGGCTCATTGTAATGTCTGGAATGGAAGTTATGGAATGGAGTCAAATGTGGTTTCCATATGTTTGATACCGTTCCAATAATTCCATTCCAGACATTACAATGAGCCCATCCTCCTATAGCTCCTCCCACCAGCCTCCTCTGGTTCCCAGGTGGGTATTCCGGTTGACCTGATCTTGGTGTATTTACCTGATCTTGGTGTATTTACCTGATCATGGTGTATTTACCTGATCTTGGTGTATTTACCTGATCTTGGTGTATTTACCTGAGCTTGGTGTATTTACCTGAGCTTGGTGTATTTACCTGATCTTGGTGTATTTACCTGAGCTTGGTGTATTTACCTGATCTTGGTGTATTTACCTGAGCTTGGTGTATTTACCTGATCTTGGTGTATTTACCTGAGCTTGGTGTATTTACCTGAGCTTGGTGTATTTACCTGATCTTGGTGTATTCACCTGATCTTGGTGTATTTACCTGAGCTTGGTGTATTTACCTGATCTTGGTGTATTTACCTGAGCTTGGTGTATTTACCTGATCTTGGTGTATTTACCTGAGCTTGGTGTATTTACCTGATCTTGGTGTATTTACCTGAGCTTGGTGTATTTACCTGATCTTGGTGTATTTACCTGAGCTTGGTGTATTTACCTGAGCTTGGTGTATTTACCTGATCTTGGTGTATTTACCTGAGCTTGGTGTATCTGCGTCGCAGAGAATAAACAGCAGCAGGGACCAGAACAAAGAGCAGAAGGACTCCCAGTAGAGCTCCTATGATCACCCAGGGAGAGGGACCCTCCACAGGGGAGCGGTGGGGATCCAGGGAGAAGGGACCAGGGGTGTTTACCTCTAAAGATTTCCCTGTAGACAGACAGATATATTCACATGCGCACACACGTAAACACACACATATATAATTTAAAGTGGGTTGGATTCATATCTGTCCTGACATTCCATGTCCTTCTATATAAAAAGGAAAAGAGCTACATCTATTATCCATAACCTTACATGTGTGCACAGTGCATGAATTATCAGCATAGTGAGGCTTTTAACAACCAAGGTTAGTGCTCTGAGTCATGCTTATCTTTAAGCAGCGTTTATTAGCAACAGACGTTTTAGTTGTGTTAATATACCGTGACAGCAATGCCCATGTGATGACATCATGTTGTGATGTGATAACGGTATGATCACAGTAGGACGGTACAATCCTTATCATGATCATGACTCACACATTCATCCTTAGTTTCAACCAATCAGCATTCAGGATTAGACCCACCCCATTGTATCAGCATCAGTAGTTACAGCTGTGTTAGAATGAGGTAGTAGTAATGACCATACATGCGATGACATCATCCAGACAGACTCACATCTATGAATGATTATGGTTACTACTGATGACGCTGCTGCTGCTACACTCTGGTGGAATGACACGGCATTACTGGCCCGGACCGACAGCCGGTAGTCGGACCGTGGGCTGACCCCTGTGAGGTTGACTGCAGTGACGGTCAGCCCCGCTGAGGCAGGGAGAAAGATGACTGCCTCCCCACACACCGCCCACTGACCATCAGTCCCTCCCTCCCTCTCCGAGCATTCCACGCCATACGTCACCTCCTGCCTCCCCCCCAGGTCAATGGGAGGGTCCCAAAGCAGAGTCAGCATTGAGTCGTTGAGGCGCTGGACTGTTACATTTACAGGAGCAGAGGGGGGTCCTGTGGAAGAGAAATACTAAATGCCAAACAGCTCGAGAAATTAGAAGATTATAGATAGAAGAAAATTAGGCCATGAAAAAAACATGGTTGTCATCTACAAACATTTTCCCCATTGTGTCAATAAGATTCATGACTGACTCTCTCGGACTCCTCCAATATGGCACATCCTTATTCAATTCAATCAAGTTGTTGAACTATTTACTACATTCTACACAACTCATCCATAAATAAACATACAGTGTATATGCAAATTAATTAGATCTTGTTTGATAAAAATGACAAAAATAAAGTGGTTTGAGGAACTCGGGTCGGAGTGTCTTACGTGTGCATCCCATGACATACGGGTCACCCGGGAGGCGGAAGTACCCCTGACCACAGTCACACCCTTCTGCACCCTCCCCGTCCGTCTTGCTATTGGGTGGACAGGAGCGACAACCCCCACTCTCATTGGCTGCCTTGTAGTATCCAGTTCTACAGGCTGTTGGAAGAAACCCAAATAAATCTGTCAAGGCTACTACACAGATAAACAGCTAGCCCTTATAAGATACATGGGGCCAGGAGCTTTTGCCGACTACACGACCTGACCGGGAAAAACTCCTGGCCCAAAAAATATACTGTGTATCTACGAGACTCAAAGTCATCTTGGTGGTATGTTTCTGGATAGTCTTCACCTACCTTCACAAGAGTCCCCCTTTTCTTGGTGACCGGGAGCGCAAGTGCACCCCCCTTGCAGTGGACCCCACGCCCCGTTCGCCTGGCACTCCCTCTGAGGGGGGTCCACCTGCCCCTCCACCCCCACGGCCCCCTCCACACAGGACCCTGTCAATGGCCCCGCTCCTGCAGACGCTCCCTCAAAGCCAACCAGGTGGCTGACCAACCAAGGGCATCTTCTGTAGTACAGCCTCACAGAGACTAGGAAGATGCACCGGCCTGAGTAGGTGAATCCAAGATGGAAGCCGTCGTGTGAGAGAGGCTCCGTGTTTAACACTAATCCCAGGCTGTTGTTAAGGTACTCCTTGATCTGATGCACTTCTGTTGTGGCGCTGAAAGTCTGCAATGCTTGGAGATGGAGGGGATTCTGGGATTCACTAAATTTGGACAGTGGAGAGTCTGATTCCAGAAGGTGGACCTGGAGTGGACTCAGCTGATTGGAGGATGACTCCTCTTCCTGAGCGAATTGTAGGTCCAATAGCAGGTGCAGGGCATCCTTCCGTGCAATCCAATGAGTCAATAGTGATCTGCGTTTGTTGTTGACAGCGCAGGCTTGATAGACTGGGACTTGGGTCTCTGAACCTATCTTCAGTGATTTCTCACTCCACTGTGTAGTGACACGAGAGGATGATACAGCATGTTATTAGGCATACAGCTATAGGCCTACTAAAGGACAGTGCCAAAAACACCAGGGGTCAGTTTCCTGCATACAGATTTAACCAAGTAATGGACTAAAAAGCACCTTCAACAGAGATTCTCATGCTTAATCTGTGTCAGGGAAACCGGCCCAAAAATGTATTTCATGAATGATCTATAGAGTAACTGGTCTAAACCTCCACAGCATCTACTGTTTCTGCTAGGCATAGAGAGCCCACTCTACTTACTGCTTTGAGTTTTGGATAAGATGTCCATTTCAGACTGGCCTGTTTGACTGAGTTGAAGAGCTCCACTGAAAGGAAGAGAGGATTGAGGGGGACAGAGGCGGGAAAGAAGGGAGAGGATGGGAAGTGAAAAGTGGTTTACATTAACCATAATGTGAGAGCATTGCAGCTGTCAAAGAATGTGGTGTTCTGGCATGAAATCTAAATACTGTAAAGTGACAGTCTATTTACATTATACAAAACTCCCTTACCTCCTTTCGCTTCTATTTTTTAAAAGGATAAATAAAAGTATGATTTGATTCATTTTAGCAGTGTAATGTGCAACACAGTAGCATATTACTACAGGAGAATTGAAAAGAAAACGATTGTTAATCTGAAAATATTATCAAATATACAGTACATACTATTTACGTGCATAGTCAAAGTATACACAGCAACGTATATCATTCAGAAGTCATCTTGGACATCTGAATGAATGATTTACCTTCTCCGGAGATTGGTTGCGCAAAGGTGCCGCCACAGTATACGCAAAACCAAAGTACCACATTCCACCTGACTGCCGACATAGTCCGCACACTTCCCAGTCTTCTCAAATTCTGTCAAAATTAATCAGAACGATGAAGAGGTGCTATTATGACGAAGTTTTAACAGGAACCACCTTTTCCACAATGCATTTGGTCTGTAAGACGTCTATAGCTAAACTGGGCAAATATTTTGGTCATATTGCGATGGCAGAGCCTCCTACTGCCTGGAATCCTCCGTTTGACCATAAGAATGTCGCTACGCCTGAAGGCTAATACATTACTTGTGTTCCCTCCTTCAGCCACCCCTTGGTAGAATAACAAAATGACAGAAAGGAAGATTAGTGCTGAGGCCTGAAGTTCATAACATCCGTCCTGTCACTCAAATATCCTGTAGTAGTAGCTACATTAAAAGTGCACAGATACCTAACCTAGTCTTACCTCCTTTATCAAAATAATTTCATAATTTCATTTTGCTGAATAATTTTCTATTAGAAGAATTTAAATTAGAAGAATATTCTATTTCTGAAAGTGTCAGTTGGGGGGCTGTCACTGTTTTTGTTGTCTCTGTTGTTGTTTTTGTTGATGATGATCAACCAATCAAATATTATTTTATGATTATTTATGGAGATGATTATCAGTTTGTAAACTTCAACAAGCATGTTAGAAATGTGTAAAAACACTCATCCAATTGTCATACTTGAGTAAAAGTAAAGATACAGTGGGGGAAAAAAGTATTTAGTCAGCCACCAATTGTGCAAGTTCTCCGACTTAAAAAGATGAGAGAGGCCTGTAATTTTCATCATAGGTACACGTCAACTATGACAGACAAATTGAGATTTTTTTTCTCCAGAAAATCACATTGTAGGATTTGTAATGAATTTATTTGCAAATTATGGTGGAAAATAAGTATTTGGTCACCTACAAACAAGCAAGATTTCTGGCTCTCACAGACCTGTAACTTCTTCTTTAAGAGGCTCCTCTGTCCTCCACTCGTTACCTGTATTAATGGCACCTGTTTGAACTTGTTATCAGTATAAAAGACACCTGTCCACAACCTCAAACAGTCACACTCCAAACTCCACTATGGCCAAGACCAAAGAGCTGTCAAAGGACACCAGAAACAAAATTGTAGACCTGCACCAGGCTGGGAAGACTGAATCTGCAATAGGTAAGCAGCTTGGTTTGAAGAAATCAACTGAGGGAGCAATTATTAGGAAATGGAAGACATACAAGACCACTGATAATCTCCCTCGATCTGGGGCTCCACGCAAGATCTCACCCCGTGGGGTCAAAATGATCACATGAACGGTGAGCAAAAATCCCAGAACCACAAGGGGGGACCTAGTGAATGACCTGCAGAGAGCTGGGACCAAAGTAACAAAGCCTACCATCAGTAACACACTACGCCGCCAGGGACTCAAATCCTGCAGTGCCAGACGTGTCCCCCTGCTTAAGCCAGTACATGTCCAGGCCCGTCTGAAGTTTGCTAGAGTGCATTTGGATGATCCAGAAGAGGATTGGGAGAATGTCATATGGTCAGATGAAACCAAAATAGAACTTTTTGGTAAAAACTCAACTCGTCGTGTTTGGAGGACAAATAATGCTGAGTTGCATCCAAAGAACACCATACCTACTGTGAAGCATGGGGGTGGAAACATCATGCTTTGGGGCTGTTTTTCTGCAAAGGGACCAGGACGACTGATCCGCGTAAAGGAAAGAATGAATGGGGCCATGTATCGTGAGATTTTGAGTGTAAACCTCCTTCCATCAGCAAGGGCATTGAAGATTAAACGTGGCTGGGTCTTTCAGCATGACAATGATCCCAAACACACCGCCCGGGCAACGAAGGAGTGGCTTCGTAAGAAGCATTTCAAGGTCCTGGAGTGGCCTAGCCAGTCTCCAGATCTCAACCCCATAGAAAATCTTTGGAGGGAGTTGAATGTCTGTGTTGCCCAGCGACAGCCCCAAAACATCACTGCTCTAGAGGAGATCTGCATGGAGGAATGGGCCAAAATACCAGCAACAGTGTGTGAAAACCTTGTGAAGACTTACAGAAAACGTTTGACCTGTGTCATTGCCAACAAAGGGTATATAACAAAGTATTGAGAAACTTTTGTTATTGACCAAATACTTATTTTCCACCATAATTTGCAAATTAATTAATCAAAAATCCTACAATGTGATTTTCTGGATTTTGTTTTCTCATTTTGTCTGTCATAGTTGACGTGTACCTATGATGAAAATTACAGGCCTCTCTCATCTTTTTAAGTGGGAGAACTTGCACAATTGGTGGCTGACTAAATACTTTTTTTTCCCACTGTACCTTAATAGAAATCATCCAGTAAAATACTACTTGAGTAAAAGTCTAAAGGTATTTGGCTTTAAATACACTTACATATCAAAAGTAGAAGTAAAATATTAAATCATTTCAAATTCCTTATATTAAGCAAATCAGGCGGCACGATTTTCTTGTTTTTAAAATGTATGGATAGCCAGGTGCACATTCCAACACTCAGACATTATTTACAAAAGATGCCTTTGTGTTTAGTGAGTCCCCCAGATCAGAGGCAGAAGGGATGACCAGGGATTCTCTCTTTAAGTGCATGAATTGGACAATTTTCCTGTGCATTCAAAATGTAACGAGTACTTTTGGGTGTTAGGTAAAATGTATGCAGTAAAAATTACATTATTTTCTTTAGGGATGTAGTGGAGTAAAAGTAAAAGTAGTCAAAAATATAAATAGTAAAGTAAATTACAGATACCCCAAAAAAAAACTACTTGAGTAGTACATTAAAGTATTTTTACTTAAGTACTTTACACCACTGCTGCTCATAAACAACCGTTCATATGAAGGCAGAGGAGAGGAGACTAGAGAAGAGGCATATTATTTAGGTGTTTCTGCTCTTACTTACGTACATCCTGTACAAACCCATTTTCTTCTGACGGATGCTTGTCCTCCCACTGATCAAAATGTGTCCAGCATTGGTCAATATCTTTCACTTCTTCTTTCCTTCTTTTTTCAGATTTTAAATCATATGACTTACTTCGCTATTTGGGTCAATTTCTGCTTTCCACATAAGTACAAAGAAAACGTAGATATTTGTGGCCTGCGTATAAGACTATAAGGTGTAGCAACAACCATGATGGGGTAATTATAAACACAAGAAGAAGTCTAATGAAGAATAGCTTCTTAAAATGCACTCTAGGTTTTCATTTAGTTCAATTCAGTGGCATAGGCAGAAATCTATTGATGGCAGGGCCATCTAAAATGTACAGTATGTGGGCCAACTGTCATCGATGACAGTTATGTTGTACAAACGGTAATCTTGGCTGGTTTTGCTTGTAAATACTTTTTGTTGTATTATGAACATTTAAATATTTCTCTACTGTCATCAATCGCACACAACAAACCATCTAACATGTGATTTCGCATTACAGACCAAATAGTATTGTAGGCACGGTGGCGACCTGTCACTGTGAGAGACCCACCTGTTTTGTGCCCCACCTGTTTAGCAAATGTTTTGCATGTTATTTTGGCATTAATGTGTCAGATATCAGTTTGCAAACAATGAAAAAAAAAATCATTGAGTTAATAAAGCAGCATACAAACATGGTCTATTTAGTTCTTTCTTGAGTAAGGCAGCTCCAAAATGCAGGTGTTCCAGCCTAGCTCAGTGCTTTCTGTGGTGGTGGGGCAGCCAGCGTAAAATACATTGGACATAAACATTACACAACAAGTTGGAAATCGCAAATTCAACAATGAGTGGTTTGGAATGAGTGGCTAACTGCAAGCGTTGCAAAGCAATCACTAGCCTGCTATTCAGAGGAGAGGGTGTGTGGCCCAAGTCCGTGTTTAAGGCACTGTTTTCCAAGCTTGAAAGGATAAACATTCACATGCAACATTCACATGCAACACCACGGGCCAGAAAAGGTTGAATACATTGGCCATGCTGTCAATCCAGCATGATTTCTACCGCATTCAAAACAACCGGAAACTCGGAAATTCCAAGTCGGGAACTCTGGCCTCTTTCTAGAGCTCTGACCTGAAGATCACTGACGTCATGATTCGACCTTGTTTTTTCCGTGTTCCCAGTTGTCTTGAAAGCACCACAAACCCAGAGAATGCCAGACTTTGACTACAAAATTTGCCCACAAAAAGGACCACTGCGCAACCTTCCTGTTCAAGTGAGCACAGCACAACAAGGTGAGTCCAAAAATGTATTGTATGCTGCTGCATAAATGATGTAATATGCCAGGGAGATATGTATACTGTAGCTAAGAAAGTAATACAAGTGTATGTTGTGTAGTAAGCTGTTAGTAGCCCATGTGCCTCATCCTAATAACTTAGCCTACTGTTCTGACTTGGTGGTGCACATGTGGCAGACCGGGGGGTTTGGTCAAGACATTTACACAGATCAGACACGAACAGAATTGTATTAGCTCGGTTTCAAGGGTGTTTATTTAAATAATAAACAAAGTAAAAATAATAGGTCTCCTCCAGGAGACCTCCTCCGGGATACTGTCTTCTGGGCTCCTCTAGGAGACCTCCTCCGGGATACTATCTTCTGGGCTCCTCCAGGAGACCTCCTCCGGGATACTGTCTTCTGGGCTCCTCCAGGAGGGCTCCTCCAGGAGACCTCCTCCGGGATACTGTCTTCTGGGCTCCTCCAGGACACCTCCTCCGGGATACTGTCTTCTGGGCTCTTCCAGGAGACCTCCCCTGGGATACTATCTTCTGGACTCCAGAAGCACAACTATACGGGAGTAACCTCTCTTCACCAGTCCCCACTCCTGTGTGCTGCCCTTCTGGCAACTTTATGGGACTCGTCCAGCTGGTGAGCAATCAGCCCCTTGATTACTCATCAACCACAATCAGCCCCAATTAGTCCTGGCCGGAGAGCCCATCAAGACCTGGCACGTCCAGCAGAAGGAGTCATCATATGATGTAAACTCTGTCTGTCACCAGGCCTCGACGTGGTGGCTGACCTGCATCCGCGTCCCCATGCTTCGCCCCTGACCTGTGCACAACAGAAAAAAGAGAA